CCCGAACGCACCAGTAGCACGAGGTTCCTACCTGTGGATGCAGCTGGGGACGTTGGTCCGGACTATAGGCCATGTACTGTACTAGCGGTAGGTGGTGTTACCCTATGATAATTGCTGTCCTGTGCCCTCCCGACCTCGTGCTACTGGTGCGTTCGGGTCCCGTCATTCGCGATTTAGGTGGATCAGTTCACATTTGGGGGGACAATGGGCCAGTTCTAATTTCTTACTTTTACGACGGGGCAGTACCAGTAAAGGTTTTTCAGAACCGCTCACAGAGCGGTTTTATATGGATAATCAAATGTACGGTGGTTTTATGTGCAGGGGCAGAAGGAGGGAAAACGGGCTACAAATGTGTATGGTACAAATTATTGCATGCAGGGGCAGCGGGGAAATGGGTCAAATATGGAGGTTATGAAGTGTGTACGGTGCTACAAATGTGTATCACTATTGCATGCAGGGGTAGGGGAAAATGGTGCTATTATAGGAGTTATGAAGTGTGTATGAACTATTGCATGCAGGGGTAGGGGGAAATGGTGCAATTATGGGGGTTATGAAGTGTGCATGAACTATTGCATGCAGGGGTCGAGATCCAAATATAGGATGCGCATAACACAACATCTCCCATAGCAGTGACGAGTGTGAAGGGGATGGCGACCAAGATGCAACCTGACGAAGACAGATTCCAACCAGTCCAGAACTCAAAGCGGAGCAGGAAGCAGTTAGTGCTCCAGGTGATCGCAGATGACAGCTGGAAGATGGTGTCGTCAGAGAACGGGACATCGTGGTGTCATGCTTTCGAGTACCTGAACCCGCAGTGCCTGCTTTGGTACGCCTACGCGAAGGTGGACCCGCACCCGTACCCTGCGGTGTTTGAACTGGCCTTGGGGTAGCTTTTCGCAAGGCAATAGAAAGCCATACGACTTCTTGATCAAGGGTTGGAACAGCTTTCAGTTCTTGGAAAGCTAGGTGGGATTTCACCCAACCAAGCTGACTCTGGATAAGATGACGCAAGCCGAAGTGACTCTTCCTGGGTACGCCCCTCCAGTAAGACGAGACCGAACACCACAGGGTGGAGGCGTGGCTGCGTGGGTGAAATCCCACCTAGCTTTCCAAGAACTGAAAGCTGTTCCAACCCTTGATCAAGAAGTCGTATGGCTTTCTATCCGCATAAGACCTGGCCGCAAAGTTGTCTTGTGTGCTGCCTACCGCCCAGGGTCTCTTCCTGGCAACGATATCAGTATGGTGGATTACTTGGACCAGACCATTGACGTTGCCCGAGTGGATGCACAGCACATCATCATCGCTGGCGATTTTAACGCGCACAACACTGCCTGGCTGGGCAGCAGTAGAACAACTCCAGCTGGGGAGAAACTGGAGGATCTCTGCGCACTACATCACCTCCAGCAGCATGTGACGGAGCCAACTCGTGGAAATGCCCTCCTCGACCTCATCATGAGTGACCTGGGCAACCCTACGGTCCGGCTTGGCCCCCAATTGGTAGATCTGACCACGCCACCATCTTGGCAGAATTCACGACAGAACTATGTCGAGGGCCCAAGACGGCCAAAACAGTCTGGCAATATGGCCACGCTGACTTGGACAGACTAAACCAACACCTTAGAAGTGTGGACTGGGATGCCCTCATGTCTGAGGATGCAAAAAGCAGCTGCACAAATATTACCTCTGCCATCATAGATGGAATGAACCAGTTTATCCCATCTCAACTTCTCTGTACTCGGCCCTCTGATCCCGTTTGGTGGACGCCGGCTTGCAGCAAGGCCGTGAAGGTCTTCTGATTGCCTACGTGATGCCCAGAATCACCATCTAGCAATAGTCCGTGCACGACTCCAGACCGGCAGCCTTCGAGACAGACAGTGGTGGTCAACCATCAAGAAGTCCATCGGAACCTCCCGAAATAGCTCCATCCCAATTCTTGTCGACCCTGCTGGCAAAGAACATGCCACAAACACTGATCGAGAAAGCAAACTGCCTCGGTCACTACTTCGTGGAGAAATGTAGCCTTGGTGCCAGTGACCTGCCAGACACACCTCTGCCCCCTATTTGCCAACGCCCAGGCAATAGGCTGAAGACCGTACACTTCCGCTCTGCCACAGTCCAGCGAGCTCTCAAGAACCTGGACGCTTCTAAAGCAACTGACCCTGACGGCATTCCGGGGCAAGTGCTCAGGAACTCGCCAGCCCTCTGGCAAAGCTATTCACCCAGTGCTTCCGGGACGGGGTGCAACCTGCACCCTGGAAGATCGCGAACGTTGTCCCTATTTTCAAGAAAGGCTCCAAGTCTTCCCCGAAGAACTACCGTCCGATTTCCCTCCTCTCTATACTCTCTAAGGTGATGGAGGCCATCATCAATCGGAGCATCACTAACTTCCTGGAAAGCAATTAGGTCCTCTCCGGACGGCAATTCGGGTTTCGACGCGGCCTGGGCACGACTGATCTTCTCCTCTCACTTCAGCATGAGTGGAGTCATACGTCCAATGCTGGGGGTGTGACCCGAGTCCTTGGTGCCGACGGGGCCGGCGCATTTGACAAAGTGTCGCACTGCGGTGTAGTTCACAAGGCCAGATGTCTTGGGCTAACTGACCACCTGCTCCCATGGTTGAAAAAATACCTAGAGAGCCGCCAGATCCGGGCCGTAGTTGGTGGACAAACATCAGCCACACACGTCATCCGAGCAGGTGTGCCTCAAGGAAGCATCCTGGGGCCAACTCTCTTCTTTCTCTACATTAATGACGCTGAGGACCACCTTCCCCAATCGACCAGCCTTGCTACGTACGCAGACGACACAACGCTCTACAAATGTATTCGGTATCTCGGCAACCTCGCAGCTAGGTGTGATGATCTCCAGGCCGCCGTCAATGCCCTTGCTGCCTGGGGTGCGACCTGGCGAGTGACATTCGAGCCCGCCAAGTCATACCTACTCCACGTCAGCCACCACCATCGGCCCTGGGATTGCCCTCCGGTCACATTCCAAGGTGAAATGGTTCCTGAAACCCATTGCCTGTAGCTTCTTGGGATAGCCTTCGACAGTCAACTGATATTCTGCCAGCAGATTCGACAGTCAGCCCTTCCTGAAGAAGGCCTCAGCAGTGCTTGACCCTGGCTGCCGACTCACGGCTTTTTTCGCCCAGTCTTAGAGCATGGCATGCTAGTCTGGATTTTTTTAAACAATGCAACACAATATTGTGGAAAGGTCACAACAGTAAGAGACAAGATCAAAAGGAAAGCTTTACAATAATAATAATAAAAAGTAGCCTGTAAAATG